CTAGGCACTAGGGTTTCTTCAAAGTTTGTGTTTCATTCCAGACCAAGGTAATCACTTCAAGTTACGACCCGTGGGCGAAGGCCGAGACGAACGAGTTAGGAATGTGACTCGCCGGGTCTAACTAGTTAGACGCTCTGTCTGTTTTCTAACGGCCAACTTTAAGGTCTGATGTTTTAGTTTATTATTATCATGGTTGGAGGATTGGGCGTCTTTTTGGTGACCTTTCTGGTGGCAAATTAGGCGGACCTTTCTGGTCGCCCCGACGTTCTTTTGGTGACCAAAAAGGACGGCGACTAAAAAGTTGCGGCCCGCGGACGGCTCTTTGACGGCACATTACCGCACGGCAACAAACCGGCGCTGCCGCCTCGTCAAGTTGCCGCGGTTTTGTGCCGCGCCTCCAAAAAGGACAAACGCGTCTAACTCGTTAAACCCGGCGAGCCACATTGCTAAATGAGACGAACCTCATCCTACCTCGGGCCTCGGGGGGAATAAAACCAAAACTCCGCGCAAATCACGCGCAAATCAAGACGTGGCGACGGCTCACGTAAATACGCACGTAAATAGCGCCGTACGTAATTTCGGACCTAGGTAGCTCCAGGGTGCTCATGTGCTATGGACCCGTGTCGATACTGGTGGGTAAGTAGAACGCTCGTCGCTTGCCAAGCAGCCTGACCAGCTTCATCACACGAGTTGGTGCATGTCAATGCAAATCACATGACAGCGTCGCCGAACATGATCTAGACATGCTGTCTCTTAGCAACTTCGAGTTGCAACTGAGTACGCAAGATCGATGAGGGCGCGCCGTGCGTCAGAATCTGGCAGCATAGCAAGCGCATCTGCTGCTAGTTCAGCTTGCACGAGAGCAAGGTCTCTGGTCTGTTGGACTCCACTGGAGCCGTTGACGATTTCAATCGCTACATCCACGTCACCGGCGCGCTCGAATTTGCGTTCAAGTATGGCTGCAAGTGTCGGTGAGGCTCGCGCTGCGAAGATGGTAGGCGCCTATGAGATAATTTGGTATGGATTAATGGACGAATTATCTTTTTTGCTTGGTACGACTTAATTTGGTATGAATTAATCGTATTGAAACCTCAAATAAAAATTGAGATTTTGAGCTAATAACACAGGCAAATGCCGTCACGAGACCCATCTGGAGGTCTGCGAGAGCTGGTTTGCCGAGTTCCAGGTCAGATGCCTCAAAATCAAGTATGTCATCGACGAGCTGGAACGCAAGGCCAACATGGCGCCCATATGCAAAAGCAGCATCACAGTTAGCCTGAGTCTCGTCCTCAAGCAGAGCTGCCGCTCGGCATGCATTGGCCATGAGACTGCCTGTCTTGTAGAAGGTTTTCTGCAGGTATGCTTCAAGCAGGGCGTGCGTATCCGATGTACCACTTTCCGGTCGCATCTGTATAATTTCGCCGCGGACAAGATGCTCAATAACAACAGATATAAGTTCGACGACGGCAAGATTCTCAAGTTTTGCAAGAGCCACGCAGGCACGCGCGAGAAGAAAGTCGCCCGCCAGGATAGCAACCTTATCGCCAAATTTTGCTGACACTGATGGGCACCCGCGTCGCGTATCGGCACCATCGATGACATCGTCGTGAAAGAGGCTCGCAGTGTGAACGATTTCGATAATTTCTGCGAGTTTACGTTGGCGCATGTTGCTACTTCCTTGTTTGCGTAACGCTCGTGCGGTAAGTAGGACCATCGTCGCACGGATTTTCTTACCGCCACTGTTACCACCATTACTCCCTGCAAAAAGGTGCGTCGCCGCCTCCCCGAGAACAGGCACCTCGATTCGCACGAGATTGCGCATGTGCTTTGATAATGAGGACCTGCAGATACATTGACCAATATCGCCTCTCTAGAGACGTATGTTCAGGTGGAGGGATGAGATCAGTTAATGAGTGCCGGCACCAGCCACGAGACAAGATTCAAATTGTGAAACACTTAAGCTAGACACTGGTGATGACACTTCAGCTGAAACGAGAGAAAAGGGATCTAAGCAGTCAATGTGCAGTTCAGTCAACTTGCCGCCTGGTGAAGCGCGCAATTCACGTCGGTAATCCTCTGATGTTGGCGTCCAGAGGCCAACGAAGTCGGGTGCGAGATCGTCCACCAAGGCCAAATGACGGATCGTCTCGACAACGACCGTGTCCATGTCTGGTCTTATAGATAGATGACGGTTGGTACAGGGATTAGTGTACCACACGTGGGCATAAACACCGAAACGTGCCCCAGCGAACCATCTGGCGGTTCTGCATAATGGTACTGACATGCGAGCCTCGAAGTACTTGTAGGAAGGTCCGTCCTATCAGGTAGGGACACGAAAATCGGCCGATTGTGTTATAGGGCGGCCCGAGCGCCACGACGGCCCAGACACGTACTGAAACGGCCTCCCAGGCGTACCCCCACCGGGAGCAACGTGCTTCCGGAACCGAAAGCGGGTCCTGTCCACACCCCAGGGACCCCGGGCCATGGGCCCGACGGACGCAAAGGGGGGCCCAGGGGGGGGCGCTACAGAATTATAGTCAGGGGGCTGGGGGGGTCGACCGCGAACGGAGCCAAGTCACAACCAGGGTGGAAAACAGACGGCCTCCCCGGGGTGTGCCGGCACAGTCGAATCCGGCTTGTGCCGGCACATTCCGGTGTGCCGGCCCACACCGCGCGCGGTCCACGGAAATGCGTCTATGCAAGTTTGGAGCTATAAAAGTAGCGAGCTAGAAGCTAGTTACTTCTTCTGCGTCATCCACTAGGACGCCGCCACCACTATCTCCGAAGGGAAGTATGATCGACTTGAGGGGAAATGGCAGTGTTCCTGACTTAGACTGAAAATGAAAAAGTGAGATGGGGCTGCTGAGCAGCCCTGATTCCCAACAGGAGAGGGTTACTCTATACTGTCTTAAAGTGGAATAGAAAGATGAGTCGTAATTATCCTCATCGTCACTGCTATCAGCAGTGCTGAAAGACGATGAGTTATATCGCGGTTTAAGTCCAGGGTGACAGTCTGATAAGTCCTGAAGACAGGTAGGAGGAGCCAGGTTGTTCTCCAAGCAGTACCGCCTACCATACTTGGTGGTGGTGAACGGCACGAAAGCGCCAACGTTGACCACCTTGCCGCTATGAGCAAGCACCACTATTGCGGTGACCGGTTCTCTCAGACCAC